CCAAGTAGTGAGAGCAACAACAAAGAACTCAAAATTCTCTCTGTCAAGTGTGACTCCAGATAAGTGATGTCGCAGGACTGTACTTTGACTCTCACTCTGTTGTGCCCTCACCTGTCCAGGACCTAGATTAGCTCTGGGATGCAGTGGTGGTCGGCAGGGCAGGATTCACGTCCAGGCTCTGGCTCTGTCTCTCACGTACTATACTAAGAGAGGAGAGATTTGTTGCACCTCAGCCTCAGCCTTCATGCTGGGCACTCGTCCTGCCTTCTTATCATCTTTCCGGGAAGGGAACCACTCATGTCCATGGTCACGTAACTAGACAGCAGGTGAAGTCTGTCTATTTACACAGCCCTGGAATAGTGAAGGAGGTTTGAGGGAACTACCCAAGGTCACCAATTTTCAGTTCTGATTGTTTTGCTTCAGCAGGGCACGCCGTCTCCATGCCTCCCCGAAACATTTATTACAACTCCGTGGGCTGTGAGAGCATGAGTCAGTTGGCTGTCTTTGTGTTGCCATGGCAGCTGTTCTTCCTCAAGGCCTTCTTAACACACATGCTCCCATAGCCTCTAGGCTCTTTGCTTTAAGCCTTTTCCCATTGCTGACCAAATGAGTAGGTAAATCCTGTTCCTGCCCCATCCTTTTGGAGGAGGCCTCTTACATTCAAATGTGCAAATATTATAAAATTGACTTGTGATATTGAAAGTATTGCCTAATGAAAGTCCAAGATGTAGAATGCTGTAATACTTATCATCTTAATAGTTGATGTTGAGACCACAGAATTTGGGCCACAGTGGCCTGGTTTTCAATTTCAAGATTAGAAATTACATAAATCTTTGTCCTTCTCTCTGTCTGTATGAGCATTGTTTATCTTTCTGGGAAATAAAAGTAATGATCCTTACCATGTATATAAAGTCAGCAGTATCTCACATCACAGTGCTCTTGGCCCATGGTTGTAGCTGGTGCTCAGAAAATGGTGAGTCCCATAACTGATGTAGTCATACCAAGGGAAAAGGCTTGTGTTCTTGGGATTCTTGACTTTGATTCATGCCTTGATGATACTGTGCGTCATATACCCCATGATGCTTATTCTCTCTACCCCAACGTCCGCCTCTCTTTATTTCTCTCACAGTACACCAAGGGCTATGTGAGGCCTTAGGTTTCTCCCCGTAATCTTTTGAAGGGTGACACTTTGTAGAATTATGGAACAGACCAATTTCATGTCTTAACTTGGTTGGGGGACATGTGGCAGAACATGGCCTACTCTAGTATGTTCTCTTAGATAGCTCAATTAAAACTCTAAAGCAAATGATAAAGGAGAGTAAAATAAATGATTATGGGACATACATACTAGAGCAGTTTTTTTCAACCTGTGGGTTATAACCCCTCTGGGCATCAAAAGACCCTTTCACGGGGCTTGCATAACAGATATCCGCATCTCATGTATTTCCATTATGATTCATAACAGTAGAAAATTACAGTTATTAAGTAGCAGTGAATGTTTGGAGGTCACCACAACATTAGGAACTGTATTAAAGGGTCACAGGATTAGGAAAGTTAAGAACTACTGTATTAGAACTTGAATCATCCTCAAAATATGGGTCTATTGTTTGTTTAAAGAAAAGAGCTGAACATAGCAATTCGTGTAAATAGACTTATAGTACCACGTGCATAAAGAATGCACACTTAGCATGAAATATGAACATTTAAACAGTTGAAATCCCATTTTTATTAAATAGACGGCAAAACAAATATAATCCCAAAATATGGTCCTGGATCAGGAATGAATGATCTCTTCAATGAATGGAGGTTGGACAATAGTCATTGTGGAAATGCAAACTATAATTCCTCTGATGTATCACATTGAAGCTGTTAGTGTGGTTATTACCAAGAAGTTGAAAGAGAATGAGAGTAAAGTTGAAGCTTTATCTCATATCTTATTAAAAATGAACTCAAAATTAGATCTAAACACAGCAGTTAAAGTTTGTGACAGTTGTTCTGGGCTGTGTTTTCTTCTTCTTTTTTTAAATGATCCTGAAAGTATAGGCTGTAAAACAAGAGCTTTCACAGAGCAAAGGAAACAATTTAACAGAGGGAAAAGATTGCCTGTATCTGGGAAGAAAGTATTTATAAGCCACATATCTCACTGGCAATTGAAAAGTATCAATAATATTTAAGAAATGTAAACAGTATAACTGCAAGAAAACTAAATGAGCAAAGGACTTGATTAGACTTCTCAGTTGAAACCATACAAATAGTTACTTTATGAAAAAAATGTTTCTAGTCATTGTGGAAATAAATGCAAATTCCAACCACAACAGCATATCACGTATCACCTTGAAGCTGTGAGAATGGTGTTTACAGAAGACTAAAGATACGAATGCTGGGGAGGATGCAGAGGCAGGGGACTCCTGTG